CGTTGGTGGTGGCGGAGAAAAAGCTTGTTCATCACCGCTTCCGAGTGAAGCAGCATCCTCCGCAAGTTCCGCTAGCATTTCTTCATAAGCTTCGTCTATCTCCGGCTGTGATTCAGCAAGTCCAAAATTTCTTCTTTCCGAACGGATCCAATCTCTGAAGAGTACTGATTTTTCCAAGCTCTCCCTCATAGACGCTTTATGGTCACCTATTTGAAGTCTCGCTTGACTGAAAGCGCTCTTTGATGCCACTGCTGAAGCTTGAACACATAAAATATCTCGAGCCATCCTTGAAAGAACCGGGAAGTATTTTTCTCTGGCCTTCCACCATTCCAAAAGATCAAAGGTGCCGTCTGGATTCTCCTTCTCAAGGCCCTGCGACAAATAAACTTGAAGCTCATTTAGATGTGAAATATCATCAATATTATCACCTTGAGAACCCCTGAACTCCATCCAAGAACTAAGTGTTTTTAGGCCCGCATTTCTTTTAGATGATTGCGAACTAGACGAAGTAGGAGTTGGAACATTTGGTCTAGCATGATCTAAGGCTTGTTGATAAGCATTATAAATTGTTTGAGCATTTATTTTAATTGAGGCTTTTGCATCTGCAAGTGTAGCTAATTCCTCATCTGAAAGATCTAAAGCCCTATAAAAATATTTGAATACCAAAAGTGAGGACCTCCTAATTTCATGGTAGAACTTAACATGGCAGCAACACCATAAATAGGGGGGATAGGGAAAAAATATTTTTTAAACTTTTCTTTCATTGCATTTATAGCAAGTTGATAAATTACCCCACCCTCTGAAAATTGAACAAACAAATCACATAGTACTGCAATATAAACTAAACAGTTTGAAATAGTAGGATAATATTGCCCAGACAATTCATTTGTAGCAATATGAAATTGTTCTAAAAAATCTATAAGAATTTTAACATTAGTCCAATCTTGATTTGTAAGGATTTCATGGAAACAATTACTAAATGCAGGATTTAGTGTAGTTGTAAGTAAGCCTATAACATTAGTGTTACTAGAAGAATTATCCATAGAAATTGGCATTATTTTATCTCTAATGCAAAAATATCTACAAATATCTGTAACTGTGTTAGCAATAAACTTACCTGTGTGACGTGAATTAATTATTCTATATGCAATAATACGTTTTTGCATTTTCCATTCTTCATCAATCCAATGAGTGGTTACAGTAAGATAATCATAGTCATTACCACTTCTACCAATATCGGTGGTAATAGCAATGCGACAATCTATGAGTAAATAAATACCGCAAATATTGTTCATATTCATGTTTATATTTATAAATATCGCTCTTTACGGTTGCGCGAGGCCATCCTTTATAAGTAGGATTAAAAACTTTTCTAATATAATGCACAAAGTGAGGGTTAGAAGGAAAACTATAGGGTAAGCACATAACAGTAACCATTTTTGCCAATTCTTCACGATCTTTATTTGGATCGTAATATAAAATGCCACCGGTAACAGTGTTAATTTCCGGTTGATCTAGATTTGACCCGGTACTAGGGTTAACCTCAGTACCTACACTTCTCCCCTCTAGCTGCGCTTTCATTTGAAGATATCTAGCTTTATCTATAGGGTGTTTCTTTATGTGTCTAGTCAAATTACCCGTACCGCTACGGTCTCCAATAAATTTATGAGCCAACAAAGACCCACAAGTTTTACACTTAGCCTTATTTTGTTCTCTTAGTTGAGTAAAAAAGTTCCAAACAAGTGATGTTTCGGGGCGTTTAGAACGTTGTCTATTAAAAGTAGGGGTTACTACAGGAGGGTCAGGCGGAGCATCAGTTGGGTTATTAACAGGACTAGTAGGTGTATCATCTAAATCCGGTTGCGTTTCATCTAAACCATCATTTTCCTCATCATTTTCAAAGATAGTTTGATTAGGATAAAGAGCATTCATAACTTCTTCATTTAATTGTTGACCTGGTGCAACATCATGGCAAAATTGACTATTGGAAAAATTGAAAACAAGGGTTATCACTATCAAGAATAACAGATGGAGGAGGACGGGTAACAGGTCTGGGTTGGGGAGCCGGGGGAAGAGTAGTATCTTGGCAACTAGATTCACCAATTTTAGATTTTCCCTTACCACCAAACATTTTTTTCAAAGAAAATGCCATATTAATTATAATTATACAAACTAAAACAAACAAAATTATAATATTAAAACTTAAGAGTTGGAACGAGTTTACCGATCAGTAAGAGAGTATTTTCTGGTTTATCTAAAGGCATGGGAGGAACCGAGCTTGAAGGAGGGGTAGTTTCATTGTAGGAAATAACGCGCCTCCTAACTCGAGGTCTACGAACTAAAGAACCCTCCTCTGGTTCTTCTTCTCCCTCGTAGCCACGGGCTCCATCAACCTTCCTCTTTGAAGAAGAGCTCAGAATTCTTTCTCGAGCAAGACTCGCTGTAAGTCTTGTAGATGAAACAGAAGCGGGGCTGACACCACGAATAGGAAATCCTAACAAAAGAAAAGAGTCATGGTAAGAAACTCTTAAGTTAGCGAAAAAGAAGAAGACTAAGCGGGAAAAAGTACTGTGTGTTTTAACTTTCCACCCAAATCTCTATGAGAGATACTTCCAAGATCTTCTCTCCATAGGGGCAACAGATAGCAACTTTTCTACCGAAGCACGGAAGTTAGGGATCTCCTTAAAAACTTCCATAGTTGCTGAAAAAGTAGGCACGAGTATACATGAGAGTCAATTTTGAGAAAGGAAAAAGATAAGATGCAAATACTTACGTGCAAAATTTCACTTTTTTGGAAAAGACATGTTTTCTTCACCCACCAAAGCACTAGTAGAATCAGCAACGAAGCGAGCATACCAGCCTCGATCTCTATCATCCTCAGGGCTAACTAATACTTTTACTTTTGGCCACAAGAGAAAAAACTCCTTCACGAAATAGTTTAGGAGAATAAAGATGAAGTAGATGACGGAAAGTAAAAGGCATAGAAGCCATGTTTGACAAATAACGGAGGCATGCAACAGCTCTCCAAATGATATGACCAATCTGTCCTAAGCACACATTGAAATAATGGCAGAATTCGATGATCACTGGATCAATAGGAGGTTTAAAGCCTAGGGTAAAAGGATATGTAGACAAAGGAATAACCAGTTTGGTATGAAGTTATTCTCTGGTTGGAACCAGGAACTAAAATTGGGAAGTCAGGTTTCCAATAGCGCATTCCCTTCGAACGAGAGCAAGGAGACCAGTTGTAATCAAAGTTGAGTAACGATTAACACGATCCAGGGAAGCAGCCATGAAAGAAACTTGACTCTTGATGGACTCACTATCAGTCACAAATGATAGTTCTTGAGGAACAATTTCATCAACAGTGGGTTCACGCAGAGTTTCAGTTGAATCTTTATCTTTAGAATCTTTATCTTTAGAAGAAGATCTTGGGGTTACAGGAGCCTTAGGTCTAAAAGAAGACGGATTGACAGCACTGCTTTGAGAGGGGGAACCACGGTTAGAAATAGAACGGAGGTTACGCAACCTGCCACCTCTTTTACTTCTAATAGGTGCATTGGAGGAAGTAAATTCGTCGACAATAATAACTTTGAGGATCAGGAGAATACATGATTAACTAAAGAAGAACAAGGGAAAAATGCAGAAAAGAGTATAACAAGAGGACGACGGAGGAAAGGATTCAAAACATCAAAGAAGGGAGAAGTATTTATAAGAAGACACGTCTATTGAGGTCATTATGAAACATCATAATGGAACCGTCACGTCGTGACTGACGCGGCTGCAGAAAAGCCCTAAAAAGCGCTGAAGAACTGAAGAAGCAATTAGCAAAAGCCACGTGGTATGGTCATTAAATGGAAGGGATATGCATCGTATCAGTTCAAAAAGGAGCATGATTACATCTGAAAAACGGCGGCAGGGGGATTCCCGCCATAAAAAACTTTCCACTTCCCCGAATATTCAGTAGAGAATATTCAAGAAAGTGGGGGACTATCTGTATTGGTGGTGAAAAAGCGTTACACGTGGAATATTGGAAAGCTGACATGGCATGGCATGTGGAATAATGATTCAGCGACATGTGGTTTTCGTAATTAGAGAATAGAAGGCACAGGAAGAAATACCCACTAGACAATACCGGGCTTAAACAGTTGGCAAGAAATAAATGATGACAGCGTGAATACATAATAAAAAGGAGGAAAGATACATGAACCAGAGAAAAATAAGGAAGGGAATCAGAACGGATGTGAAGCATTTATAGCAATAAATGCATCGGTTATAGGTTTCTAAGATTATGGCCAATCAATATCATTAATGCCTATAATTAATCCAATTTATGTGGGAAAAACCGTTACTATTGTATATTACTATATAAGAGCACAAAATTCTATTTGTAAAGACATATCGAAATATTGAAATACACTCTTTACTTTTCTGCTTTCTCGAAATTCTCTACCTTGACTTTGCAATCAATTATTTTCTTAGTTATTCTTATTATTTTCCTTTGATATCGTTGAGAAAGTGAAGCAAAACTTGGTTATAGTAACTTGTTTCTTCTAAAATTAGACTTTGACCAAAAGATATATTTTTGATTAAACAGTAATAATACCACTTAGAAGTTGTTCCTAGGAATTTTAAGATTGTAACTGAAAATGAGGGACTAGTTTGAAGGGGTCCTTATATTTCCCACGAACAAAAGAAAAGATGCTTGCTTTAGGCCTTATGGTATGCATATGATCTGCGAATTACTGTTTTTAGTTTGTAAATATTGTTGTTTTCCATGTGCAAACAGAGCTCAGTTAGCTGTATCTTTCGCAATGTGTTTCAAGACGGGTCATCTCGAGTTACATCATACCTACAGTTGGAACTATAATATTAACAATGATCTTGCTTAGTGATTCACTGTATAGTTGATGCATCTAGGGAAAGCCAATTTTACTCTTTTACATAGAATGACACAATATGTGTAAACTAACACATATTATACTATTTGGTTCCTACAGCATGGATGTATTCCAGAGAGCGAGAAGCTGCTCCTTGAAGAGAAGAAGCCCCATTATAACATGCTGCAGATTCGAAATTTTTAATGCAGCGTTGCATAAAACTACTGGTATGAGAATTATGAGGTCTCAAATGCAATTTGACATATGAATTAGTTGTTGCTGTAACATATTAGGTCAGTAGATTTTGTATAGTTGTATACCCCTGTCCCCTGTAATAAAGTGAGCCCATCAGTTGAAAGTTCATTATTGGGGAGCACCTTGTTTATCCTTGTTCCATAAACCAATATATTGAGGGGGTTTATGTCCTCTTTTTGTACTACTTCTTACAATGAGGTGTTCTTAGAACAATAGGTTGATGGGAAAGAGGCGGGACTCTTTAATTCACCTTAACATTTCACATAAATCACCTATAGGCCACCTAGAACAACTTCATCACTATAATTCAGCAAATCTTGATCTTATATTTAACTATTTAACTTTAACTTTCTGCAGGGTCGTCTATCCTTTTCGCTATGTAAGAGGAGCAGCCTTACCGTTTCGGATTTATCACACCTATTGGTGCTAGACTCAAGAAGGAATAATTTCAATTGAAGTGTTCCACAGTTATGTACTCGGAGCTCTTCATTGATGACCATTGACTTAAAAGGTGATCAATTTGAAGTGCTTTGAGTACATTACAGTGGACGACTCCCATTGAAATTATTCTTTCTCAAGTCTTGCTCAGCCATGCTATCCAAGCAATGTGGAACTGACTCATTGAAGTTGTTGTGTGATAAATCCAGAAGGGTAAGACTGCTTAAGTTACACAGAAAAAGAAGTAGACGACTGTATTGGGTGATACCCTTTTTTTTTTTTTTTTTTTTGCTTGAGCCCGACCGGGTTGGATCCGGTCCGGAGCAAGTCGGGGCCATCGAACCCGACCTGGATGCAAGGTAGAACGACGGCCACGTCTACAACCGAGGTCGAGTCATTTCGAGACCGTTACAGAGCTCGAAAGGAATCACCACCGGATGGAGAAACACACAAGGTCGGAAGCCGGGCTCGTAACGGATAACCAAGCGTCGCCGGATATCTCGCCCAAACGTGATTTTCTCAACCACTTCAGGCCATTAAGGCGTAATTACAGGGATCCACGATGTAATCAATTTACCTACCTTATTTTTACCCTTAATCAGAATGTATAAATGGGTATCTCTCTAAATTCTTGTGGATCATGAAGCACAATTGTTCTAAGCAATATTATATTCTGCGATTATTTACTTTAACAGCAATTGTTGAGTCTTTTATCTTTATTTTCCTTAACCTAAAAACCTTTTGTATCTTTTAGTTCACGGATCCTTAAAACCCCATATAAATTCAATTGTTATCCGGATTCGAGGGTAAACAACGACCTTGAAGGAAGTTAAATTTAGGATCAAAATACTCTAGATTATAGTAATGAAGTTGTTCTAGGTGGCTTGTAAGTGAATTATGTGAAAGGTTTAGGTAAATCAATGAGTCTCACCTCTTAGCTATCAACCTATTGTTCTACAGAACACCTCCTTCAAGTTGTTCTGTCTTTGCCCACAACGTGCAGTGTACCCAATGTAGAGGCTAATAATGATTCAACACTCTCTTTAATTCGTTTGGACTTTTATGATCAGGAATGACAATGGGACAGGGCAGATTGATATTCCTGGTCCTTGCATCAACAACTCACAATCCCTACTATTAATAAAATGAAATATTGGCACTGCTTCATGAGGGTCTCCTTATAGTTTGCATAGTGAAGATTTGACTCTTTTTTTTTTTTTTTTAACGAAGAAGCAAATATGTAATTGTGTTTTATTTTCCTTTTTTATTGGATTGTTTATTCTCTTCATTGAAATATATCCAAAGATTAGTACCGTATATTGCATGCTTAATTTGTTGAGCCAAAGTACATATATCAAATAGGCTAAGAACTACCAATAATGCTTTACTAACAAATTATCTGGGTGAGTTATATGAATCCTCAAATTTCTCTTTCTTGCTCATTTTATTTCACTATTCAGTAATATGTGGTGTAGAACAATATGGATCTCTAAAATATACACTCTTTAAATATCATAGCTATCCTTAGAATCTCCAACTCAACTAAGTAAAACTCATGTTAAACAGCAAAGTTAATACAAGTCTGCTAATAACGAACTGTAACCCTAACTAGTCGGCATCCTTTTTATGTTGTATAGTTGTGTTTCATTTTTTCGTTACGTCTGCATGGATTTTAAATTACTATACCATGTTCAAGACAACCTTCTTTTCATATGATTTTTGATTTACTTTGTGTTTGACACATTCAATCATTATAGAGCAATATGTTCGAGTAGAGAATAATATGGTACCTTAGAGATGCGACACTATTTTTGAATTCAAAAATAACGTTTAACCAGTCTATAATTTTTTGTGACGATTATTTCCTTTAAATGTTTTATTTAGAGTTAACCGTGAGGATTCTTGGTTCTTTTTTTTTCAATTTATCATTAAAAAACTGTTCCATGTGAAAAGGGAGCTAAATTTTCTATCCCACTTCCTCTGGAAAAAGCTTTGTGCTTATGTAAGGTTGAGTTCTCGTCTTCATAGTTTAAGACTTTCGCGGTGACGTCTACTATCTATATGTTATATAATACTAATTTCGCATTAATCAGGTTAGTCATGCAAATACACATTTATATGATTTTCTAACAGTGTCAGTATCAAATTTGATAAATTGCCTGCACTTATGTTAAGTTGAAATGGCGCGGGAAAAGTAGTATTTACTTTTTATCCAGCATTTTTAGTGTTGAGCAAAAATAACCACTACTCTATTAAAGAAAAGACGGTGTTACGCTTTCTTCTATCTCTTTTCCTTCCCAAACCCTATATAAAAATTTCAAAACCCTCTCTTCCGATCAAAATTTTCCAAACTCCTCTCGTAACTTCTCTTCCTCATGCAGTAAGTTCTTCCCCAACTTCATCCCAATTAGCAATCAATTCCTAAACCCAAAGGCAGACCACTTCCTCGACGGTCCTTAATGTTCTTCAGTGACTTCGAATTTTTGTTGCGAGATTTGCCTGCTTATTTCAATAATTCAGCCAGCCTTTTGCTTCTCATCATCAAAATCAGGATTTGTAGTTCCAAGTCTCTCGACGTTTTTCGTGAATCGAATTGTGTGTTTTCTATTTTGCTTTTGCACTTTTTGTATTTTATATTGTGTCTTAATGTGTTTTGGTTCTGTTATTTGTTAAGCTTCTGTAGATGGTAATGGGATCACTTTTTTCAAGTACTTGTGTTAATATTTTCTTTTGGTGTTATTGCTGTGGGAGCTGGTTTCAACGATAAAGGATAAAAGGATTATGGAAAGTTAATTCAACTGGTACTATGCTACTATTGGAATGTCAACACTCGTCGCGACGACCTTAATTGTGTATACTTAAGATGTTTTTGGTTGACATTTGGTTTTGGAATTCCTGCTATCTCATGTTTTTTTCTGTTTCAGCTTTCCTTTTGGGTTCTCTATATATCAACGTAAATAATAGTGAAAGCTTGTTCACTCTACTAACTATGAAAACTATTTGGTGGCTAGCAAATTTTCCATACAATAAGACTTGAATGAGAAAACAAACTGATGGACAAAATTACAATACCAACTTTCATTTATAGTAGAAATAGTTATAAAACTTCATTAGATAGTAATTCAAAATATTAGTCACAAGCTGATGCTGGTTCAGTTTTAATTTCAAACCGGATAGTTAGGAAGCATATTATTGAAGCCTAGGGCTAATGAAGTGGAATCTTATCCAAATGATAGTAAGATAACAACTTCATATTGAGACACTGTTGGGTATCCCTTTACCAGCGAATCCTAGTTCACTTGTAGGATGGAGTAATGTATATGGCACCTTAACAAGTCCCATCCTGTTCTTAAGTTTTTTGTTAATATTACATCTTCATAATTCTTTTCTCAATTTCAGCCATTTTCTTGCCGAATCTTTCTAAAGCTTGTAAATGTGCAGCTGATTAAACAATCTGTGTGTCCAAGAAGTTGTTAAAGATAAATTTGTATGCTAACTGTGTTTAGGAAAGATGCATCTAATTAGGTCCTGAATTTTTAGTTTTTTTAGTTTAAATATTCAGGACATTTCAGAAAAATAATTCAAATGTTTACCTTCTATTTCCTTCTTTGTAGTGTGCTAATGGAAGGATATCGTTTTTTTCAGTTTGATGATTGGAGTAATTTGATGAGCTATTGGAAAGGAGATTTTCAGTATAAGGAAATAATAAAAAATTTCTTGTTGAACACGCAATGGAAGAAGTTGAGAGATGGTATTTTTCGGAAACTTTTTCCGATTGGAAGGTGTGAAATTCTGTTAAAAATTTATCCATTGTGTATTGCTTTTTGAAATTGTAAGCAATGACACGAATTCAATGACATTCAAGGTTTTTGATCATGAAGTGAAATTTACACGTGAAGCCTTCCAAATAATTACTGGGCTGAAATATTCTTCTTCAGTGGACATCAACTTTTTGAGCGAAAGAGCGAATAGGTTTTCTAAGACTACTTCCCTGGAACAGATAGAATTGAGTTAGGCAATTTGTGGCATTTTATTACTAGTCACCCATATGGTACAACTGGATCATTTGTAGGCAGCGACGACGATATGGTGAAGTTGGCAACAATTTATTTTGTTGAATCTGTATTGATGGGTAAGTGCAAGACTCAGAATATGTCTTAACGGGTAATGAAAATCATTGATGACGATGAACTCTGCTCTTCTTTCAATTAGGGCTCTCTTTGTTATCAAAAGTTACTCAAATCATTGAAGAGTTGCTTGAAGCCCAAACAAAATACTTCAGGCAATGAGAATGAGAATGAGAAAGAGACAGAGAAAGAGAAAGATAAAGAGAAGGACTGTTATACTATACTTGGCTTCCCTTTCGCCTTCTGTGTTTGGATTATGGAAGTATTCCTAGTTTTTCAGGAAAAATCGTTTGTAATCTTCAAAGAATGCGGGTTCCCTTGGATGCTATGTTATTCAGATATTGTGATGACCCGATAGGTTATCTTATGATTTAAAAACTAAATTCTGTATTTCGAGGCTTTAAATACCTCATTTTAACCTTCCTCGATTTGCGTGCGCGGTCCGGGTGTTTTCTCGGGAGGCTTATATGTTAAAAATTGATGAAAATAAGAATTTTTGCCTTAAAAGTTTATTTTAGTTGACTTTGGTCAACTTTTTGAGTAAACGGACCCGGACCCGTGTTTTGACGATCCTGGTGGGTCCGTATTGAAATATGGGACCTTGGCGTATGTCCGGAAT